CTTAAAATATTGATACCAATAGAATAAATGGTTGATTCTACGTGTTTCCGAATTGTCATTTCATTGTTTTTATAATATAATGCTCTATTGTCTTGTCAGTTTTTTCTTCATTATTATTCATGATATGCATTTAAATCTGATGCATAAATTAGACTCCTCTCGAACATGATGCAGAACAAATACTGTATAAAAGTACTGCACCGCAGACAGACACGTTGAAGATCAAAATTTTTAACATTAATATATCGATATAGATTTTTTATTTTTTTTAAAAAAAAAAATTTTAAAAAATAAAAAAATTTAAATTACCAGTAGGTGGCCAGATCACATAAAGCGATGCATAGTATGATCGTTCATATTAAATCCCATTTTCTGTCCATCAGCATCGACCAATCAGAATCATGACAAGTATGATCTGGTAAGGATTATGATTCATCCTCAATCCGAAATATATTACGGATCTATCCGTTTAAAATTGACGGATAAGGATATCCACATTTAATCCAAATTATCGGATCAATCCGAATTAGTCAGATTGCGGATTGAAACACTAATATAGGATTAGACTTGGCTAGGGTTAAATTATGTACAAAGTCAGTATTGGGATTAGGATTAGGATTAACACGTGTATAATAAATGATAATAAAATAAATATATAAATAAAAAATGTCTTATAAAATTGTTAAAATTGTGTGTACCAATTATATAGATCACGTGTGTATATAACTCTTTTTTTTTATTTCTGTATTTACGTAATATGATATCTGATAAATTCGAAATTACGTAGCAATGTCTTTTAAAAAAAAAAAAAATTCTCAATTGAAAATTAAACCAATTAATCAGAAGTAATATTTTCAGTTTAAGAAAATTTTATCTCAGACTTCGATGTTTTAAAAAAAGGGTAAGCCCAATAAAAAACATTTAAAAAACTGTTTAAAAGTTTTTTTTACCATCCCTACCTGTGCTTGTGCTTAAAGGTGTCTAAGACTTTTAGACCAGATGCCAAATTGTGCCTAATATTTTCAAGCCTAATGCCAAGTAGTTATGCCTATGTTTGTGCCTGTGCCTTTTATTAGGCACGGGCATATGCTGGGCCTGCAGATCCCTAATATAAATATTAAATATTTTGGTTGTGCTTGACATTATGTTCTCGGTACTTTGTGTATAGCATTTTGTGCCTGGCACTTTGTGTCTAGCACTTTGTGCCCGGCATATTGTGCTGGCATTAGTGCCTGGCACCTTTGTGCCTATGGGCACGGGCACGGCACAAGGCACTAGTGCCTGGCCTGGTGTCAATGTGCTGGGCAAAGGCATTTGCAGACCCCTAATTAATAAACTCGCTATCCATTGTATCGAATGTATATAAATTCATTATCTTGAGAGAATTTCAAATAGGCCGGTTTTGATACTTATAATTAGTCTTCATATCGAAAGTTTATTATATGAGAATGATTGGTATCGTCGAACGTTACAATAATATCTAAAGTTATGACATAAGCCAAAACTATGGCATATAACTGATATTATGACAAACGTCAGTTGTAGCTTTTTGACGTGTCGGTCACGTCTCGAGTTACGACCGTGGATGCTACAAAAATATTACGCCATGGATCATATGTCTACGTATATATGTTGTGCCTCAGATTAATGCTTGCGTCAGATGTCGACTTTTTGGCCCGCATTAACTGATCGACATTGATTAAGCCCAAATCCTTCCCAGATTCTTACCAAAACCCTATCCTAACTTAGGCCGATTGACATATGAGTCTGAGGCACGACATATATACCGGGTTTTTCAAAAGTCTCTATACACGGTCCCTATTTTTAAAATTATCTCTATATGAGTGCCGCCAAGGGAAAACCTGTCATCGGACTTTCAATTATATTTTGTGTACAGTTGACTATCTATGAAAAAATCTATTATTATGATAGATTTTCATAGACGGTTAACTGTACACAAATATAATTGAAAGTCCGATGACAGGTTTCCCTTGGCGGCATTTATATAAATAAAAAATAGGGACTTTTAAATACTCGTTATACCAGGTTGGTGAAAAGTAACTGAACAGTGACCTTTTTAATCACTATGATTATCATTTTAATGTTTAGTAATAATTGCAATAAATTAATAATTGTAATAATTTTAATTTATTGCAATGATTACTAAACGCTAAAATGATAATCATAATAATTAAAAAAAGGCCACTGTTCAGTTACTTTTCACCAACCTGGTATAATACTGTTTTTTGATTGGTTAATAAATATTACGGGGGAGGGGTTTTCCTCTGATAAAATATATTGCTTAATAAGCGCGACCCTCTAAAACTAATTGCTTAAAATATTTATCAAACCAAGATTCAACCCATAACAAAAAAGACTTTTTTTAAAATCAAGTTTATAGAAAAAATCAAATTTAAGGCCAAAAGGATAAAATCTAAGAAGAAATTTAAATTAAATGGCTTCTTCAAAATCAAGATTAAGGATAAAGCCAAAAGACTTCTTTATAATTTTGCTTTTTTTCAAATATTTTTTAATAAGACACTACAGTCAACTCCCTCTAAGGGCAACTCCTCTAAGTGCAAGTTCTATGAAAGATCTCTCTAAATGCAAGCCTTCTCTTGGTCCCAACTACTATTACACCTATAGATTTTTACTCCTCTAAATGCAATATCTCTCTAAATGCACGTTTTGCAAAATTTTTACATATGGTCCCGTCGCATTGCACTTAGAGGGAGTTCTAATGATTATCTTACGTCTGTGTATGCCTGACATACCTCGGATAACCGATTGACAACACAGGTCGAACTTTAAAATTTCTATAACATTTCTGAGAGAGATCAGTAGAATATTGGACGTCGATATGTACTGATTTTTGCCGCACCTATTGGAAAGATATCAGTTCCGATAGGCGTATAGATATCCGATAATTCTATCAAAAAGTATTAGATATCTGATATGCCTATCGAAACTGATATCTGAAAATACGCGCCAAAACTCGATTAGATCGACGTCAGAAATGTTATAAAAATTTTAAAATTCGACCGTGTTTGTTACGCATATCATCTGAAAATCAGCATCTAAGGTGCATAAGATGCAATTTGGCGCAAGAATACATATGAAACACAAATTTATAAGTGATAACCTAGATTCTGAAACTTGAATTAAATAATCGATAATAAAAGCATTGTTTTAGGATCTAGAAATGCGCCAAAGTATTGTATTTTTATACACCAGATTATTTAAATATTAATACATTTGCATATGTTCTAATTCAGTGATACAAATCAGTTTATCTATTATGCTATATATTTATAATAAAAACGATTGGTGATAGAACTGAATAACGACAATCCGATTTGCGTTTAAGTCAATCACAAACAAATTCTAGTGCCCCTAATTTATCTAGCTTGTATAACCATAAGACGGATAAGTATAAATAAGCATCTATTTAACTAAAAGTGTAAAATAATTTATAAACTCCGACTTAATTAAGAATTTTTTTAAAAAATGATTACTTTACCAAATGAATGCCTTTACGAAATATTTACTTATCTTAAGAAATATAATAAGAGCTTATTTTCATGTCTTCTTGTAAGCCGTCAGTGGTGTAGAAACGTTGTACCAATATTATGGAGCGAACTAGATTTTTTTAAAAATTGGAAACTTATAAGAACGTGTCTTTTAATGTTAAATATTGAAGAACAAACACATTTAATACCATTCGAAATAGTATTTCCAAATGAACCAAAACTATTATTTAAATATACATTTTATATTAAAACTATCGATATTTCTTCCGATGATGGGATTATAAAGTGGCTTAGCAATGAGTCGCATTATTCTTCAAAAGATGCGAAATCTATTGATGTAGTTCAAACTATTAAATATTCATTAATGTCAATGCTTTTACGTACAAGTGAAAGACTTAAGGATTTGAGCATTTATGGTACAGTAGTAAATTTATCAAAAATTCTCAATAGATGTTTAAGTCTGACTTTTTTAAGATTAAATAATAATAGATTTGGTTTAGAAGGAGGTAAAGCATTAGCAGAAATCCTTTATAAGAATAAACGTTTAACCCATTTATATTTTTGGAGTAATAAACTTGACTCAGAAGGAGGGAAGGCATTAGCGGAAGCGCTATGTGAAAACACTACTCTAATATACCTTGATATTCAAGACAATCGAATTGGTTCAGAGGGAGGAAAAGCACTAGCAAAGGCACTTCATAAAAATAGAGCACTAAGTTATCTTGATCTTTGGAATAATAGGCTTGGTGATGAAGGAGGAAAAGCATTAGCAGAAGCACTTTATCAAAATACAGTTTTAACTCACTTATATTTTGAAAAAAATCAACTTGGTTCTGAAGGAGGGAAAGCAATTGCTAAAGCACTTTATAAAAACACTACTTTAACACATTTGTATCTTTCAAATAACTTTTTATATTCTGAAGGCGGGAAAGCACTAGCGGATGCCCTTCGTGTGAACACTACTTTAATCCACCTTAATGTTCAGAGTAATCAAATTGGTTGTGAAGGCGGAAGGGCATTTGCAGAAGCTCTTTATAAAAATAATACTTTAATCTCTTTAAATCTTAGCGAAAATCAACTTGGTCCTGAAGTAGGGAAAGTATTATTAGAGGCTATTAACAAGAACACTGCTTTAACTTCTTTAGAACTTTATGATAACGAAATTGACAGTACCACCTTTAGCATGATTAGTAATTTGCTAAAGAGAGAAGAAAAAAAAGATGATGAAAGTTTTTATTATTGAAATTATTGGTATTTTTTTTTATATAGAATCTTACAAAACGTTAAATATTTTCTTTGGTTAAAATAATGCTTGTATTTTAATACGTAACAAAAAAAATTCAAAGTTATCAAAATTTTGTCATATTAGAGAAACATTAATAAAAAGCACTTTTTTTCAATAATTTTGGTTATATAGTAACAGTTTCTAACGCTGAATCAACACCAATATTATTAGCAAGTTTGGATTTTCTATAATTCATTAGCTTTACTAAATTCAACACTATAGTCAAGATCAAATTTAAGCTTATTTTCGCTGCAAGTGATCCTGTTTTCGTATATCGCTTTTATGAATGCAGATGAATTTGGAATAGCGACGAATTCGACTGGTTGACCGCGAAAATAACGACCTAATTTGAATGTAGTATGGAAAATCCATAAATTCGAATAACTTAAATTGGTTTAGATTTTAAAAAAACTGTGTGGCGTTATCATGTAAAATATTTATATTTTGAAATAAAATAATTTAAATAAGGCCATACAAACTTATACTATTGGTTTTCATATCACCAAGTAACTTTTTGTGACCCGGCGACCCGGCTTTTAATTTTATTTTCAAAAAATTTTATATGTAAAAAACATATAAAATTTTTTTACAAAAATTTAAAAAAGTCCACCCGGATAATAAATATAGTAAAAAATTTTTTTAAACTTTTGTTGAATTTGACCCGGCCGGGTTATGAGAACCAATAGTATAAGTTTGTGTGGCCTAATGTTTAAAATCTTTATTTCACACAATATATTGCAAATTGTAAGTTAAATAATTTTAATACTAATAAAAAGTTGAATAATAAAAATTTAGTTTTACAAAGCCTTGTTTTAATCTTGCCTAAAAATTAGATGATTTTTCACAAAATAGTCTCTAAAATACGATCTTTAACTCTGGTCCAAATAGATATCGACCCATAATTCTTTAAATGCAAGCTGTCAAAAGGCTGGTCCCTTCAAGTTGCATTTAGGGAGATTTGACTATATAACGAATGTTTATTAAACTGTTTGAGTTAGATATTTTACTATTTAATTTCTTTTTACTTTATAAAAATTTAAAGGTATAAAAAACTTTTATTAATCTAAGCTTTTAAAATAAATTTGTAAGTATAAGACCAAAAACTAAATTATGTAAATTCGTCGATTTATGTAATTAATGAAATCATATAAATTTTAGATGATTAAAATGTTCAAAGAAGTTACGAATGCAATAATTAATTATAGCTATTTTATAGTTATAAATCTGGCATACAATGATAATTGATAATGGTAGAATGATGATAAGAAAATCTAAAGTCATCATATCGAACTTAGGGAGCTGGAACTTTTCTCATCAAATCGACTAGAATGCAGGTATACTCATTAGACAATGCAATTTAGCACAACATATCGATTTGACTCATTAAATTGCATTATCGAATGAGTGAGTATTCCTCGTGGGGGGCTATAATTACCTAATATTTTTCAGCTCTCTTACTATATCAGATATGAAATTAAATAAACCAAATGATTGGGATCTTTCTGAGATAATAAATGCAAATTCAAGTTTGACTTAAGACTAAGTTCCTTAAATAATAATAGTAATGAGCTTCTGGAATTCTTATAACGAGGGCAAAGGTTATAGTCGTACAATTGAGTATGAATTTCTAATTGTTAGTTATATAATCCCATCAACACTTTAAGGTTATATTGCATGAAGATTTCCAATCATAGTAGTAATGCATAGTGTATAAAAATACCTAGAACTACAGAATAAGAAAGAATTAGATTAATAAAGACTATCTAACAATAACCACGACCCTGGTGATAGCATGTTTCTTGATTCTTGAACTAAATTTTCGTATCTTCTTTGTAGTCTTAATGCGGAGTAATAGTAAATCACGCGATCAAAAAACAAAGAAGTCACGCATTGACGCCACAGGACCACAAGACAATCTTGAGGCAACATCAAGGAAACTGATTGAAAATTGAGAATCATATTCGAGTAATGCAACGGCATATTGATATGTCAGCAGAAATGCATGAAAACGCAACACCAAATACCCTAAAATAGAAAGAAAGAGAAGCAGGGATGTATAAACACGTTAGACTGAAAACACAAGACGCATTGGTTCAAAGGCCCGAAGCAAAAAATACTCGACCCACCCAGACGAAATATTACGTGATTCTACCATTTCTCCGCTCATATATCTCATAATGCTCTACTCACAGACGGCTTGCCTTGGCAAGCGGGAAACCACCAGCTTATCAATCCTACAGCGACCCCAGCATAATTATTAATATAATTAAACTCACTCCGCCTTGAAAAAAAAAATTCATCAGGCGAAAAGTGTAATACGATGCTTTCGTTTCAGGATTAAGCAATGTTTAGTCTTACTTGTTTGATAAAATCCGCAATTTTTTGTTATTCTGAAACCTCCAAATATGATAACATTATCAATTGAATGCTACTATACAATATTTAAAAACCTCTGATCTGATTATAAAAGTTTATTTTCTTGTACACTTGTAAATCTTCAATAGTGTAGATATTATACCAATATAGTGGAGGGTGAACCAAAAAAAATTTAATGGTGTAAGACTTACAAGAATATTACTTTTGATGTTAAATGTAGAAAAGTGAGCTCCATTATCTCATTTTAAAATTATTATTCCAAGTCACCCAAAACCTTTGTTCGAATATACAATCCATTGACCGTGAATTGGATCTTGGAATTATATATTGGCTTGGTCATTATGAAATATATGAAACAGGACAATGACATAAGATTGAAAATGCCATTAAGTGTTCTTTAATTACAATGTTTCTACGAATTGGTAAAAATTTTAAATATTTATATTTTTTTATTAATGGAAATTATGCAATAAAATAATATTCGAAAAACTTTATAAGAACAATATTATCACTTCTATTGAATTATATAAAATTGATGTAAACAGAAAATTCCAATTTGACTATCCTTGAAAACAGCCCACTCACTTTATAAAAATAATGTCCGAAATTCTCTAGGCCTTAACGGTACTTTCTTTGGTATTGAAGGGGAAAATGCTAGCAAAGCTTCTTTGCAAGAATAACACGCTTACTTATTAGTGGATATAATTTGCAAAATCATTATATTGATTTTTTAAATCTTAAAGAATTGGACTAAATATGAAAAAAGCATTTGCAAATACACTTTACAAGAATATCGTAGACTTTGAATGTTATCAGAATAATCTTGGATCAGAAAGAAGAAAAACATTAGCAGTTCCACTTTACAAAAAATACTATACTGGTTTCTTTAAGTCTTGAATAAAATAATCTCAGATCAGAGGAAAAAGCTTTAGCAGATTCACTTTTCTGACTTCTTTAAATCTTGAAAAGGATAATCATAGCTTAAAGATAAAGCATTGGCTGATCCACGTTACGAAAAAAACAATGCTATTAATATTAATCTTAAGTTATATCATACAATTGAATTTAAATACAGTCAAACCTTCTTAAATGCACTCAAACTTTCGATAGCTTGCATTTAGAAAATAATAAGAAATTTGCATTTATGTGGATTTAGTATATATATATATTGTCTAGAAAAAATTGTATTTAAGAGATGATGCATTTAGTGCATCATGTACGTATTAATAAAATATTTTAAATATTTAAAGAAATTTAAAAAACTTCAAATTTACAAATAAAGATTAAAACCAGGTATTCTTATAAAGTTTTTGATTAATTTTAATTATATTATTATATTAATATACTGCGAGTTTATATATTTAATTTCTGTTATTTTAATGCTTAAAATATGTATGTGATACTGAAAGCTTTTATTGAACGATCGCATATTTCAATTAAATTTTCGAACGAAAATAACTTTGTGCTATTATATTGATTTGTTAATAAAAAATAAATCTATATATACATAATATAGAATAAGTAGATAAACATAATCAATATAAGATAAACACTATGAGATAAACAATATAAGATAAACAACATAAGACAAAATAAAATCTGATTGGCTGCTTTACTATAATTGCACAAAAGATTTTAGTCTTATCATACACCTCTACATGTTGTTAATTTACAAAAAAAAAGAAGCTTTTTTTGATGCTATATTAAAAAGCTATTTTTAATATAGCACCAAAAAATACTCTTCTTTTTATAAATTAATAATATATAAAGTGCAGAATAAAAAAAATAGGGTTCTAAAAAAGATTTTATTTTAATATAGCATTTTTTTTTTAAAGAAACATATTTTGTATAACAATAAATTTGAGATTTACTTTAGGTTTAAATGAGCCTATTTTGAGTTTAAACAAATCTAAGCCAAATTTTTTTGGGTTCAAGTAAATCTAAACTAAGTTTATATAACTCTATTTTGGGTTTAAATAAGCCCAAGCTAGGTTTATATACTTCTATTTTGGGTTTAAATAAGCCCAAGCTGGGTTTATTTTAATTAAAATAAATTCAAGCCAGGTTTATTTAACCCCACTTTAGGTTTAAATAAACCCAAGCCAGGTTTACTTGATCTACTTTGGGTTTAAATAAACCCAAGCCAGATTTATTTAACTCTATTTTGGGTTTAAATAAACCCAAGCTAGATTTATTTAATCTTATTTTAGATTTAAATAAACCCAAACTAGGTTTATTTAATCTAATTTTGGGATTAAATAAATTTAGACTAATTTGACTCTCTTAAACAGGCTTGTTTGTCATCCAAATCTTCATTTGAAGCCTTTTTAATATTAAATTTTGTGAAATCTTTTTTGTTGTTTTTAAATTTAGTATTAGTTATTTTTAGAAATATAATGATTTTAGAGCAATATAATAAATTATATAATAATATAATATAAATTATAATATTTACTTGTACTAAATTGAATATATTTTTCTTATATTAATTTAATTTGTTCAAAATTAAATTAAGTTTTTTATTAAATTCCTTAGATTGGTTTTTAAGATTTTTTATTTTTTGATTTTGATTTTTTAATATCTTAATTTTAAAATTTAATTTTTTTTAAAAAATTAATAATTTGAATTAAAATTTTTTAATTTTTTTATTTTGTTTTCAAAAAAATTTGTTTTTAACTACTAACTCAATAATTTTTTGTTTATTTTTTTTATTAAGTTTTTTTTCAAGATTTATATTCAAAATTTTATTACCAATTTTATAATAAAAATATACACAGATATATTTTTTAATAAAAAAATTTTTTAATATTATTTTAGTATTATTATATAATTTAATATTTGAAATAAGAAAGCTTCTGGTTTTTTTAAAATTATGTTTAAGAATTTATATAAATCTTTGATTTTATTACTTACTAGTAATAAATTTTTAATATATATTTAACAAAAAAACTTATTATAGCCATAGTTTTTAAATTATATAATAGTATTTTGTCATTTTCATATAAATAAAATATTAATTTTTTTTGGTTGAAGATAGATATAATTGTATTAAAAGTTTTTCTCAGCCTAGTAAATAAATAAATTAGAATATATACTAAGCAATCTATCCTTTTAATTTGTAGTTTTCCATTTTAATTTTTTTGATAATTACTTCAAAAGTGTTAATAATCATAATATCTTTTTTATTTTATCTATTTATTTTACCATAGTCATCTGGCTTTCATATAGTCCTAAAACACTATAACCACCAAATATAAAAATATTAGTGTTGTTAATTAATATGGAGCATTAACTGAAATTGGTGTTACCCACTTTAGCTAATATATGATTAGACTTGTGTTGAGTAATTCAAAGTAGTTTAATGCCAATACTTTAGCCTTAGGTTTAATAAGAAGAAAAATTTTGATGAGATGTACATATGTCTTTACAATATTTGATTAAATTTCGTTGTCCAACTTTAATCATATGATCAATCAAGATTATAATTGAGCGAGAGGACGGTTAGCCAAAATACGATGGATTTAGTCAACTATTCAGCTTTGAATGGTTTCGTAAGTGTTTCATAAGCAATTTATAATTACCGTTCAATTTTATTATTATATTTAATCACTTATTACACAATATCACATAACTAATCAGATTTAAATTTTTAATTATATAAAATTCTGCTCAGATTCACAATACAAACTCAATGAAAACTCAAATTATTTGATTGAGCTATTTCATAAATTTATGTTTCTGATTTTGCGTGACAACATCGGGCAGCTACTTTATGGTTTAATGGTTTAATATCAAATGAGCAATTCTGGCATCAAACAGGATCGTGATTTTGTCTTATGATTGATACGTAACAAGTTATATCATAAATTTCGTAGTCGTTATATCCAAACCACTGACTTATGATTTTTGATTGAGAACTTTATAAAAACCTACTTATAAACAACACAAATTTACAATAGTATAAGTATTGCAGGAAAAGAAGAAATTACAAAGATAAATAAGATGTATAAGACACGTATTAAAATAATCGATTTCTAAATTATATAAGTGACTGTAGATATTATGTTTAAACTTAACACAACTATTGCTGAAATCAAAACACTGCCCGAGTAATTAGACGTATTGAATTTAGCCAAGTTATTGTAAATTGCACCAAGAAATATATGTCTAACAGTTCTAAAGTAGTGTAAATTTTTAGTCTCAATCTAGTTTAGATTATTTGTAAACTTTTTATATCAATTCAATCACAAATTCAACACGTCTTGTTCAACCCAAAACATATTATTGATCACTTTTAGAAGAATCATTTAATACCTCTTCTATGATTTCACAAAATTCGAATTCTTCTCTTAATTTCTGGCCATAATTTTCTTTTTTACTATCATAAAAAAATTCCAAAAGCTCAGGAATTATAAACCATTTACCACTTGCTTCAATGAAATCAATTTTTATTAGATTCATCTCGGTATTTTTTGATCCTTCATCATGATTCATTAAAAAATCAATATTGATGTCATCTTGATTTTTATAATGAGCAATCTTCTTAACATCAGCATTAATAAAAAGTTTTTTAACTCGTTCAGCCTTATATTTTTTAAACTTTTTTCGTGACCGATGCGAATAAGTAATATAATGAAATAAACCCATTTCAAGAACATTAACAAAAGATACAGCATTTCTAAAGATCTCTTTAGCTATAATTGGAATTCCTGGAATATTAAGACCTTTTTGATATTTTAAGATAGGTTCATTATTCTCGGCTATAATTTTTTCAATAATAGACCTATATTTATGTTTTTTAATAAACAAATATTCTTTCTTTGAATCTTTTTTAGAAACTTCATCAGAATCTTTATCAGAAATTTTATAATCTTTTTCAATATCTTCATCAGAATTGTTATAATCTTTTTTATTATCTTCAGGATCTAAGAGCTTATTTTGGTAAAATCTTCTAACATCTTTATATCTTTCGTATACATAATACTCTTTAATTTGTTCAATAATCTTTACGTCGTTTTTCATGTTCTGATCGTCATCATCAATAATATCTTCTTCATCCTTCATATCAGGATTTTTGTTCTTATTGTCATTTTCGCGATAGACTTTTAAATAAAGTCTTGCTTGACCGATAAATTTACGAATTTGTTCCTCTCCATCAAGTCTTAAAAAGACAAATTCACGCCTATCAATAGTATTCTTATTCTTTCTGTCGGTACTTCCTTTATATTTATTTCCATAAATCATAATATTTTTAACTTTAAGTTCTTTATCATTAGAAAAGAATGAAGCAATTGAACGGGTTAAAACAGTGGTTAAAATAAAGAAAAAAATTGTATCAACATTTTTAGGAGTACAATAAAAAGCGTATTCAAAAAAACATTCGGTTATGGAAAAGAAAATAGTAAAAAAGAAAATTTTTTTATGAATAAAATTTTTAGGTTTAGATAAAAAAGAATTTTTTTGTAATTTTTCCCATTTAAGAATTCCAAAATTAGTAATAATTGAAATAAAAGAAAAAATGAAATATAATAAATCCATGGAAATGTTCAACATTTCTAAATTAATAACTGCAGAAATTGTTTGAACACCAGTTTCTTCTGCCAAAGTTCGCACATCAAAAATAATTATTAGAATTGAATGAAAAAAACATGTCAATACAATAAAATGTTTAAAAAAGCGACTATAATATTTATGATGATATTTTGGTTGTTTGTTCTTTAAAATTTCATAACTAAAGTGTCTCCCGAATAAAGGTATTTTGTGAAAAATACATACTGAAGTGTATACAAACAAAAAAATAATTAAAGATACTATTATAATAATTGATAAGCAAACTATAGTCGATGCATTAAAAAAGATTGAAGCCAATTTTGCAGTAAAAAACCATGAATAAATAGGAATCAAAAAACAAGAAAAAATTACAATATCATCAATAATGCAAGTTGCTCTAAAACCTAATTTAGAGGTTGCACCATAAACAGCTATGTTAAAAATTAATCCTGCAATCGAACCAAACCCTGATATTTGTTCAAGGAAGGTAGTATGAGATACTTCTCCATAATATTTAGCTTCATTACATTCAAATGTCGATGTAGCAGGATTATATTTTGGTTTAAAGAAGCTAGCAACTAGAATATCTGTTACGATTTTACCATTATAAACAACCCAAACTGGAAGGATAATAATATAGGTAGCTAGTGCAAGAACGCATATTGCTGCCAGAATGTGTAAACCTTGCATGCTTAAAAAAGTTAGAAACAAAAACTAAAGTTTTTAATCATTATTTATAAAGTATTTACGCATCGTGTTAATCATCGTTATCGTGAGCAAGGTAATTACGTACTTATTAGTAAAAAATCAAATCACACTATGCGACAATTTACTAATAATATATGCTTACAATTAATAACATATTAAATTGTCACGTTGTGTGACTTATCTTTTTATGGATCTTTATTTGAAATTTCCGATTTTATAACTTATACGGTATTATACATCTTTTTTTTTGATCGAATGGGATAAATTCAACAAGACAAAATCTTAATACGTAAAAGATGTCAACTCTGCAATAGAGTTTCAATCACATCAATACTATCAAAATGAGGAAATCAATTTTATCTTTCAAATTTTCTTTTTACATACTTATTAAAATAAATGATTAGGAATTATTGTTTTTAAGATAAACCTTTGTGTATGGGAAATTAAATGCTTCATTTCTCTTTATGAAAATAATGCAAGCAAGTACGTACATTGTAAATATACAAGCCAAAATCTCTTACATAATATCAATAACGATGATTTAGGAAGGTTTATGCACTATTTCTATAAAGAGATTTCTGTATTTCTTGCACCATGCACGTATGTGCAGACATAAGTTTAGGTTGCTGTACAACTCTCGAGAGCTATTTTCCCGAAAGAACATAAATAGGTCTAATGCTAGCTATCTTTGTCAGTTTTACGCCATTGCTGGAAAATGGAAATTTGAGAAACTATTATAGTTAAAAACTTAGGATATATATCAGTTTCTAATGTTCTACGTAAGAGTGTATTAGTTCATGAATGAAGTTGTTAAATAAACTACATATTTTATTAAGTTTAAGAATTATGGAGAATGGACAGTAAAATCATCGTCTGAAAGTTTAAGAAAAATAGGATTAAAGTCTTTGTTATATGAAGTTTCAATTCCAGATTTTGATTTATTTATAGATATCGTTATAAATTTTTTGTATAAATAAGGTCATATGCTTGAATTCAATTCGCCAAGTTAAATTGACAATCTTTGTTCTAATTTTTATCTTCGAAGAATTAATCTAAAAATCTCAATATATTATTAAGCTAATGAAATAATAAAAATTTTTACTGCATACAATAAGAACCAATACTTTAACTTTGAATTAGTAAAAAAAATTGAAATTGGTCAAAAAAAGCAAACTGATGGTTTTCCTAGTCCATTCCCCATATTTGTTTCGATTTGGTTTAATAATTAATATTATAAAATGATATTTTTAGACTTCTATACATGTTCAAATATATGTACGTACGTACGTGCAGAACGGTGCAAGAAGCCCAATCACAACTAATGATCATGCAGGTGACCTGATTTTATGTAGATGTTGTGTGACAATAATTCGCTGATGAATTAACGGTTTTTCATATTTTTAAATCGATAGAAATATTTAATATTTATTAATATGAATAATCTTAGTTTATACTGTATTCATTTTTTGCTTATACGTACTAGGAACGGTAAATATCACAAAAGTGTATAGCGATAGTTATATGCCATTTAAAGTCGCTACTTCACATTTATTGATTACAATATGTATTTACTTATTTTCGCAAGTAGCACAAATCAAGGAAATTTAACGTACGTACTGTATGTAAAAATAGAATCTTGGTCAGTGTTACGTACTTATTATATGTTCCCGTCATATCGGAACTGACCAAGAACGGTATGTTCTGGGTAAGTGATGTTCTTGACTAGATGGATTTTTCACACGCCATTTATAGAAGATGCAGTATTTGTTGTAATATCCTATTTGCAAATACCAGTAACAGAGCGCGTACGTACGTACGTAATAATTATTAGATGATCCTTCCTCGTGATCTCGTCTCTGGATTTATAAGGTACGTACAGACGTATAGTAGAAGAAAAAACTCGCGATCAGATCGTTTTGAATCTCATGATGCAGCTATTATGTAATGTCAACATGCAAATGTATTTATTGTATATTATGTTAATTTTATTGATTTTTGGGTGGGTCATGATTGCTACAACTACAAATACCGTATAAGCGCGTAATAACGCACTTCAAATTTTCAATTTTTTAAAAATGGAAATTTTGACTCTAAATAATGCCCATGCGTGTTTCAAAATAATGCTATTTTGAATCTTCAAATAAATTTGAATATAATAAGTTTAGGTTCAACCTCTAAATCTGAAACCTATTTATTATCATAATAAATATGATTAACAATATATCTGGAATTTATTCGTCTTAAGTTGTCTTTATCTCAAAAAGACTAAGTTCTATTATGATGTATCATGAAAGTTCCAAAATTAGCATAATGATTCGAATTATCGCGCATGCGCATCCCGAAATAACGCGCCCCTGCGCGTTATTACATAGTTGTTGAATTTTATCATTATATTTTATACATAGGTTTAAAGTAATGCTTAATGGTACATTATAAAAAAATACCATGGAATGTTGCATAATCCAAGAAATATCTGTTTTCATTCGGCTCCGTTCATTTTACTGACAGCTTAGTTCACCGACAATTAATTTACAGACACGATTTTTTACGCGAAGATTCGCGACTTGTCGATCATGTACGATTTGTGTGTAACATCCAAATGGGATCCCATCAATTCACCGACAATCACTTCGTAGACACCATATTTCACTGACAATTACTTACCGACAAGTTCATTTCACCGACGGTTTATTTCACCGAAGCTCATTTTACAGACAAAGTAATTCTGGTCATATCATTAGAGTTAGGTTAGAACTAGAGTTAAAGTTAGTGTAATTTATAAAAAAAATCCTGTCGGTGAAATAGACTGTCGGTAAAATGAACTTGTCGATGAATAATTGTCTAGTGTCTATGAAGTGATTGTCGGTGAAACAATACGGACCCCATCCAAATATAACCATAGCATAACGCGCACATAACGATAATTTATATAGACAACTAATTTCATGTATCAACCAGACAAAGAATTAGATTGACATTAGTGTAAAAACTTGGTACTAATTTTACTGATAATATATTACGCTTAAATGCTATTTCTTTTATTATTATCAAAAAAAAACCCCAGTTGCTACTTTACAAAATAAATGAAGTTTAAGATTCTTCTTAAAAGAGTTTTTAAAATTTATTTAAGATTTGATTAATAAATATCTTTTTACTTATGATTTCTGTCGTAGCCCTTATAATGTAGTATTTGTCAATTACAATATATAAATATTATGTATTCAGCCAGATGTCTCTATGCTGCTAAAAAATAAATAAAATAGTACTATAAGATATCAAATTATATATATCTATACCTTGCAAAAATGGTAAGATGCTGGCTTCCAATCAAATAAACTGATAACATTTTAAAATAATTGTCGGGGATGATGCTGAAATTGGCTGATGCTGAAATTTAGGGTCCCCATTTAAATCCATAATACTTTTTTACTAACAACACTACCCCTAAACCCTAACCTAACCCTAAAAAAAACCTCTAACGAAATAAGTCAATATTTCAGCATCATTCCCGACAATAATTAACCAATAGTATTGAAACGAAAAAGATAAGATACCATAGTTTTTAGAATGAGTAGAACTCAAATAATTTTTATTAACATTATGAGAATTATTGACCAGTTGATTTTGCTGTCTTCAACTTGTTTGAATCTAATAAGAAATTTCATTATCTTTCGCTATTTATTTAGGGATTATTTTTTATACCCCCAAATTTTTATTCATACCCCCCTGCAGATTAAAAAATTTTTTTAACTTTGAGCGAAAGTATCTTAGCAACTACTAGGCCAAATTTGAAGAAGTTTTTTTTTTTATTTGAAATCCACGGTTACATAGAATTGAAATAAAAAAAACGGTTATCGAAATTATCTTGGTGGTTGCTGAGAAATCTTCGCTCAAAGTTTTGAAAAAAATCAAACCGACTATCAAAACAAATTGTACTAAAATTTCTTTAAACTTTGAACGAAGATATCTCAGCAACCACCAGGCCAAACTCGATAAACTTTTTTATTTGAATTCTATGGATCCATATAATTGAAATAATAAAAAGTTTATCAGATTTGACTTGTGGTTGCTGAGATATCTTCGTTTAAATTTTTAAAAAACTTAAAAACGCTTATCAATACAGAACTACGCCAAAATTTTTTCTAAACTTTGAGTGAAGATATCTCAGCAACTTTCAGATCAAATTCAATGAACTTTTTTTATTTGAATTATATGTATGCATACAATTCAAATAAAAAAAGTAAAAAAAAGTTCATTGAATTTGATCTGAAAGTTACTGAGATGCCTTCGCTCAAAGTTTAGAAAAAATTTGGTGCATTGGTAGACGTTTAGAATTTTTTTAAAACTTTGAATGAAGATATCTCAGTGACTACCAAGTTAAATCCGATGAATTATTTTTATTTGTATTCTAAGAATTTACAGAATTTAATAAAAAAAAAAGTTCATCGAATTTGACTTGATGATTGCTAGAGTATCTTCGTTCAAAGTTTAAAAAAATTTTGCCGTAGTTTGTTTTGATAGGCGTTTTAATTTTTTTTTTAAACCTTTGAACGAATATATCTCGGCAACCACAAAGTCAACTTTGATGAACTTTTTTTTATTTCAATTCTATGGATCCATAGAATTTAAATAAAAAATCTTTATCGAATTTTGCTTGGTGGTTGCTGAGATATCTTCGCTCAAAGTTTAAAGAAATTTTAATACAATTTGTTTTGATAAACTTTGAGCGAAGATATCTCGGCAACCACAAAGTCAACTTTGATGAACTTTTTTTTATTTCAATTCTATAGATCCATAGAATTTAAATAAAAAATCTTTATCGAATTTGGCCTGGTGGTTGCTGAGATATCTTCTCTCAAAGTTTTAAGAAATTTTAGTACAATTTGTTTTGATAAACTTTGAGCGAAGATATCTTGGCAACCACCAAGTTAAATTTGATGAACTTTTTTGTTTCAATTCTATGAATCCATAAATTTTTTTAA